AAGTTGACACAAAGTGGGCAATACGTTTTATTAGTAATAATAAAAGCATTAGGGGAGACAGTGTAGCTCAAGTGGTAGAGCGTATGCTCAGCACACACAAGATCCTGGGTTCAACCCCCAGCACCTCCTCCAGAAACAAATAAACTCAATTACCTCCCTGCTCCCCCCTTACACCAAAATTTTTTTAATTAAATAATAAAAGCACTTATATGTCACACTCACTGAAACTTGCTGTCTTCCGTGTTTAAGGGGTTATTTTCGCTTCAAAAGAATTACTGCTCGAAAGAGAGGTACATTTTCTCCCCTTATTTTTTGAGCATCAAAAACGCAGCTCTTTATTCGAGGATTTGAATGTGAGTAACATACTTAGGTAAATGTTACAGGGCTGATGTTGAATACAAACACATACAGCAAGACTCTTACACCCTAATACGACCTAGTCATTCTGATTTTAGCTTAAGTAAATTCCTCACCAGGGGTCTGCCTCGGAGTGGTGTATTTCGTAGGCATTCGCTTTAAAATCTCTCAGCTCGTCCACTCATTGTTCCTCGACTGTTAACAGCCCAGCGGAGACTTCAGATTGTCTCAGAATTCCCAAAGACCAGGCCAAAGTCATAGTATCCCTGGCCTGAAATGCTCACCCAAGAAATGATGGAATTTGAGAGCAAGGATTAACTTTAGATAATCGTCGGGTCCTGCTCCTTTTCACTGATTAGGAAACTGGATCCTAAAGGGTTCAATGACTTGTCAGGACGCGAGTTTGGGTTTTTGGCTGGTACTGGATTCCAGTTCCCGACTGTACAGTGATTTTTTTGTTTTGTTAATTTATCCTATACTATTTCCTCTCTTCAATAGAGTAGAAGTCACAAGAACGAATCACTCAAGTGCATTTTTTATTAATGCAAAACAAGGGGGTTTCCAGTTTTCTCCTTGTGAATAAGCAGTGCTTTCTCACGTGTATTTGACAGCTTTCAGCAAGAGCTAGATGCAACTTCATTTGTCTATAATAGTTCTGCACAGAATTACAGCTTCTGTTACCAATTATCTGTTTTAACCAATGTACACAGCTCCTCCAGAATTAGCAGGACAAATCTGGGTGACATTTCTGAACAGGATATGTGTGAACAGATTTTGCAGTATGCAAATGTTTAATGTCTATCAGGTTAGAAACAACTATTTTCCTGACAGTTCTTCGAACATAGGGGAGAGTGGAGGGATAAACTCCAGACTGCACACAGGAAGGACAGAAGGGTCTTCAGCTGACAGCCAGGGTGCTGAGCTGCAACTCCAGGGGAGACCCTGTTCCCCGTTCCCCGCTCCCCCCACCCCATAGAGAGTAAGCAGCGTTCTCTGCTGCCCTCTAGAGGCTCCCAGAGCCACTCGTCGGAGGCTGCAAAGAGACCTCTACTTAAAGGGAAGCAGGTAAGGGATTATTTTTCCCCTTTAAGAATTCTGCACCCATGTATTATGTAGTGTTCCCCCCACCACCACAAAGCAATTCTCAGGACCCCACCTGGGTGTCCTCCAGTTCAGCTCCATTCTGACACCATCTATGCAAAGCTAGCTCCTGATTCCTCGGGGTGGGGCTCAGTCCTACAAGGCTGTCCGAGCTCAGTGGCAAGGCCAGGTTGTCACCTGTGCTTCTGACCAGCTGGCAATAGAGCTAAGGTTCCCCCAACTCCCTGTTTGGGGCC